CAGTGAGAGAGAATCATGGATCAGCTGCCCCCTATTGGGGACCAAGCCCGCAACCCAGGCATGTGCCCTGACTGGGAATTGAACCGTGACCTCCTGGTTCCTAGGTGGATGCTCAACCTCTGAGCCACACGGGCCGGGCTGGGTGTCTTGGTTATAGGAAACAGTGAGACTGGCTCCTGGAGCGAAGGGAAGCCCTGGGTAGGTGTGGCCGCTGCAGCCCGATGCCGAAAGGCTCCCAGGTGTGAGCATGTACCTGCTACTCTACAGCAACCGAGCCTCAGGCTTCCGTTCTTTTCTTCCTTCCCATCTCCCTCTCTAAATGCCCCAGACATCCCATCAGATTTACAGCGGTCCTTGTTTTCTTCTTGAAGGCGAGTCTTTTTCTAACCAACTGGTACCTGTTAGCTCAAATCCTCACGTCAGTTTGATTCCTGATTTGGGTCCGTTTTATAAGCCCCCTTGTATTTCTCCTTGACTTTGCTTATCTTTCCTTGAGCTTCTCTCTCTAAATCACTCTTCCTGGGATTGCTTTCCAATAAACAGAGCCCGGGCCATTCTGTTGATATAAGGGGCGGCATTTCGAAGGCAGCAAATGGCAGTTCGCTATCGATTGTTGAGACCCTGGGACTTGACCACCGTATATCCCACTAATCCCGGGCTCTGGGCCATGATGGATCCCCAGCATGTTAATGCTGCGGCTTTAATGCTGCAAAAAGTGTAGCACCGACAGGCGGCAAGGATTCAGAGAGGGCGGACGCACAGATGGGGCCTCAGAGGTCACCCCCATGGGAGCCCCCGTGTCCAGGATATGAGGAGATGCCATGAGTCACTCCTGTCTGCAGCACAGACCTCTCTCATCCCCCTAGAATAGTGGTCGGCAAACTCATTAGTCAACAGAGCCAAATATCAACAGTACAACGATTGAAATTTCTTTTGAGAGCCAGATTTTTTAAACTTAAACTATACAGGTAGGTACATTGTTATTAACTTAATTAGGGTACTCCTAAGGCTTAGGAAGAGCCACACTCAAGGGGCCAAAGAGCCGCACGTGGCTCTCGAGCCGCAGTTTGCCGACCACTGCTAGAATGTGCCAGGGTTTCCCTGCCAACCTCTAAATGCCAGACTGTGCCCTTTTCCTTATCGCCTCTAAATTCCACACCTATCAACACTGTCTTTAGTGAGGTCGAAACACATCCGTTAGGCGTCAGTTTTATCTTGGTTAGAATTTTGAGAATGTGTTCTCTCTGTTTCCTTCAACACGGGCATGTTTTAAGGTTATTTTTTGCAAACTTCACTTAATCAACGATCTCATGCATTTTAGTTGTTTTTTTAAAGGGTGTTTTTGTCTGACAGTTTCTGATACCCATGGTTTGCCCCCGCCCCCGCCCCCCCCCCCCCACACACACACGTAAAGAGCTCTTGTCCTTTACAATGCTGAGTCCTGACGCTGATTCGCCCAGTAGGGCCCCTCTCCTGGGAGGACTAAGCAATCATTTCACCAGCATCTAGTGATCTTGTGTGTGTGTGTGTGTGTGTGTTTGGGGGTGTAGGTGGGGCAGGGGAAAGGGGGTCCTAGTATAAGGGGACAGGAGGAGATTTGACTGGGCAGTGGGCACACGGTGCAATATGCTGATCCTGTCCCATAGAAACCCACGCCTGACACCTATAGGATCATGTCCGCCAATGTCACCCCAATAGATTTAATAAAGATAAAAAATAAGTCATTTCTATACAGCACATAGACTCGCACATGCCAACATGGGTACTGAATAGCCGATCATTTTCATGACCACATCTAGCTATGGTCTCTGTAATTTTATATTCCAATTGCTACACCGTGTGACATTGAATGTGTCCGTCATTTTGCATCTGACTATGATGCAACACACGCTTATGAAGGTTACAGGCACGTCAGGTCCTCTTGGTTCAGACTCTTGATAAACTGAGTGGTGGCTCCTGAGAAAAATGGAGATGGTCACAGACGAGAACGGGGCAACTTGGAAAGCAACGAAGCCCCGGGCTGATTATCCTGCGAGGAGCCGTTGAAACCTGTGAGGCTCGAACCCTGCCAGTGAGAAGGTCAGGTTTCCTTCCTTTGGGGAAGTGGGGCGAGAGGCCCAGGCGCTGGAGGAAGGGGGACGGACACCCAGAGGAGCGTCTGATTCATGTTGCTCGGCCCAAGGAGTCGGTTACAGCAGGATTTTTCTGGCTGAGCAGTGTTGATGCCAAGGAGACCTGCCCTCCTGGGTTTTGAAAGGAGAACTAGTAACACAAAGAAATAGGACGGGATGGTGGGGGGAGGGTGCACTTCTGTGGCAGGAAGAGAGGGACGCTGTGGTGCTGGTGCTGGTGGCAGCACCTGGCCCAGGGGCACTGGTGCCGGGGCAGCATGTGGAGGTGGCGTGCGTGGAGTGGGTGGGCGGCCGGCGGCCCGCACGGGGACAGCGGGGTGTGCCCCTCAGCTCCCCCGTGGTTTGCGCCCTGTCGTCTGGGTTTGTGCTGCCCAGTCGTTGTCAGAGCCCGGCTCCATGCTTTCTGGCAACGCTGTGCGTCCCGTGTGGTGACCTTCCGAATTCCCCGGTTCAGGTTGCAGCCAGAAAGCCTCGAATCTTCCTCCCGCGCCAGAAGGAGCTTAGCGAGGAAAATCTCTCTTCCAGCTTGTGTCCCTTCCTCAGACCTCAGCAGAGAGGCTCCTAGGGACCGCACCGGACAGTGAGGTTCATTAATCAACCGTGTGATCCCTAACCTTGACATACAATCATTTCCCAAAGAATGCAAGGCATTCACATGAAATAAATGCAATCTTTAAAATGGAATAAAATTGTCCAGCCGGTGTGGCTCAGTGGTTGAGTATCAAACCATGAACTAGGAGGTCAGGGTTCGATTCCTGTTCGATGCCTGGGCTGCAGGCTTAGTCCCCAGTGGGGGGCGTGCAGGAGGCAGCCGATCCGTGATTCTCTCTCATCATGGATCTTTCTATGTCCTTTTCCTTTCCTCTCTGAAATCAATAAAATACATTTTTTAAAAAAGGAATAAAATTAAATGCTAACTGGGGACTAGAAGGTGCCACTTGTAAAGTTTTCCTGGAAGGGATGGGACCTCCGTTCATTCCCCAAGGGTGGGGGGTGGGGGTGGCATTCGGGGGCCAGGGACGGCAAAGCACAGGAAGGAGACTGCGCAGTCACGGGCGCGGGGGCCACCTGCCTGCAGAAGGTGGGCAGGCACTGAACCAGCGAGCAGTGCATTGAGTAGTCAGGAGGGAGTGTATTCCTAAGGCCTGTCCTCTAGTCAGAAATAAGGAAATTTTCTATTTCCCCAAGTTATCTTGCATATCTTTTAATTTCTTTATTTTTTTAAATATATTTTTATTGATTTCAGAGAGGAAGGGAGAGGGAGAGAGAGAGAGAGAGAGAGAGAGAGAGAGAGAGAGAGAGAGAGAGAGAGAGAGAGAGATGATGAGAGAGAATCTCGGATCGGCTGCCTCCTACCCGCCCCCAACTGGGGATGGAGCCCACAACCTGGGGCATGTGCCCTGACCGGGAATCGAACCCTGACCTCCTGGCTCATAGGTGGATGCTCAACCACTGAGCCCCACCACGAGGCAAACTTCTTTAAAGTTGAAATGTCTACACACTGGGCTGTCCTGCCAGGGAAGGTTTGAGAAGCCGTCTGGAGCAGCGCCGCCCTCGTGCTATTTGAATTTCTGACATTCTCTCCAGGGACTTGGGGAGAAAAAAGCTGGGCCTAAGGGAGTCACAGCAGAACCTGGGGTGGCTCCGAAACAGGCCGGTTAGCAGGCACCTTTCCATTCGCTTTGGAAAGTGAGGCTTTTTTGGAAAGAGTGTCAGCAGTGCGCTCTGATCACAGCTTCGCAATGGAGGAGCGAAGGGTCGGGCTGACTCCTGGGCTGGAACTTCAGGGAGGCTCTCAGGAGTCACGATCCTCTTCAACGTTTAAAATCGCTTCTCCGCCCGGGGTCCCTGTCTCCACAGTGAAAGGGCCACACGGATCCGGTCACCGGGCCAAACATCAGCTCCTAACCCCGGGGAGCTGGTGTTCCCCTTCTATGGGAACCTGTGCACAGGTGACCCAGTGCGCCTCATCTGGATACACCGACACAGACGCCAAAGGGTACTTTATTAATTAGGCCGAGCTTAAACCAAAACTAAGAAGAGAGGAGACACAGGAGACAAGCAAAAAGCAAGAATCACACAGGTTTGTTTACCAGAGAGCTGATGCGTTCCCGTCCTTGGCAGGCCACCCGGAGACACTCGCTGACAGAGACACAAGGAGGTCGTCAGGTTCGCAGCTGCAAGATGCTCGGTCTCTTGACGCGAAGGGAGGCCTCTAACAGTCTGGGCTCAGAGGCAGTGCAGGAACGGCAGTTTCCAGGGGCAAGGAGAACGTCTTGGCTGTGGAGGGCAGACAGGAGGCGTCTGACTGCTGCTGTGAGGGTCCTTTTATACCCCATGGGTGGGCTTCTTCTGTGTCTCATATCAGTGTGCTCCGGGTGCCTTCTGGGCTTATCAGGATACACGCAGGGAGTTACAAGGTACTTATCAGGGTCACACACACACAAAGGTAGTTCCTCTTCTAAGTAAAGTTTAAATTCACTCCAATACACAATGGAGTTTGCTTATGCTAACCTACACCAACTAAACTTATTACTGTAACAGCAGGGCACGTCTTTCCTTTTCTGTTTGCCTTCGCTCCAGGAGAGTCCAGAACCACAGCCAGAGAAAGGCGCCCCGGCAAGGCCAGGAAGCACAGGATCGGCTTCTCCGCGCCGGGACCCGCTGAGTCCACCAGAAACCTGGCCGGGCGGCCGGAGCGGGGCGCGGCGGGGCGGTGCCAGGGCCCGCGCCCACCCCCGGGATCTTCGGGCCTCGGCGTCCCCCCGCCCCTCCGGGCCCCGGGCCAGGGAGGCCGGCCGGGCGTTCCGCGTCTGCGCGCGGCCGGGCTGGAGCCGGGAGGCCGGGCCGCGGGGAGCCAATGGGCGGCGCGAGGGCGGCGGGGCGGGCGCAGTCCCGGGATGGAGGGCGAGCTCCCCGCGGCTCCGCGCGGCTCCTCGGGGCCCCCGGCGGGGGACGCCGGCGGGGACAGCCCCTGCGCCCTGCTGCCGGCCGAGGCGCTGGCCCTGGACGGGGACGAGGACGACCTGGAGGTGTTCAGCAAGGTGAGCGCGCCCCCGGCCGTCCCCGCGCCCCGGGGTGCAGGCGGGCGGTTCCCCCCCTTCCCTCCCCCCACCCCCGCCGCCGCCTGCACTTTGACCGCCGCGGGCAGGGCCGTAGCTCCGTGGAGTTTGCAAAGTTGTGATTTCCCCCCTTGGATCTCCTTCCTTCTTCCCCGACGCGGACTTCTGGGGACGGTGGCCAAACCCCGCGGCGGTGGCGCCAAGCTCCCCGCCCCTCGCAGATTGGTTTCGGCTGCAGCCCAACCGGCCCTCTGGGAGGGAGATGGAGTCCGGAGAAGTTACTTTTGATTTCCTGTGGCCGGTTGCGGATTTGGGGCTTGGGGACACCCGAGGTGCGTCTCAAGTCTCCCGGGAAAGGTGCCAGGGAGCCCCCTCTTTGGGGGGGGCGGTTCCCGGGTCCAACAGGAAGCTCCCCTGCGGAGCCCAGGATCCCAGACACCCAGCTGCCCCCCCCCACTCCCCCCCACCCCCAGCCACCGTGTCTGTCCTTCCCGGGGCACACCTGGGACCCCAGGCCCAACGCCTGGTGTAGGTGGAGAGAAACGCACTCGGTTCGTGGTGGACTGGTGTGTGTGTGGACTGTGGATACAATTGCTACTTGTAAAGAGAAATGTCTTTCTTGGCGGGAGGCATTGAATGTCACCCCAGTTTCTCACCTCGCTGCCCAGGGTGGAAGAGATGACAACACTGTATTCATGGCTCAGACGCCTGGGAAGTAGGTAAATGTTGCCTTGAGGTGTTAGGTAAAGCAACACATGGATCATTGCTTTACTGTGGCAGAGCGACTGACATTAGAAAGGGACCAGTTAAACTCAGACCCCACAGAGGAAAACCAGTGCCAGGGGCAATACATAAGGGTGGGCAGGGCTGCAGGCCAGGTGTCCGCGGGTTCAGCTGTGTGCTCTTGCTGGAGTCAGTTGCCTTTCCCGTGTAGCTGGCCGCCTTGGCTGCCTTGGGAGGTGCTATTAGTCTAGGAATATGCCTGAGGCTCTGCCCTGGGACACTCCAGCCTGGGAGGGGCCCGGTGATGGGAGTGGCACCTGAGTATCAGTCCCCTGGGATCCTCTTGCACTTGTCTCCTGACTTCTTGTCCCAGATTCTCAGCGCCCCAGCCCCCTCGCATGAGCCCCTGTTTAGAGGCCGATCGAAGGCGAAGCTAATGGAGTTGGAGCTTTAGGTGTGGGATGGCTCAGGCCCCTGGAGATGTGGGCTGTGACTGGGGCTGTGGGTAGCTTAGGAGGGAAGGGAAGGGAAGGGCAGGGTGCAGCCAGGGGCCGCTCTGTATTTCGTGTTTGTGTTGCATGTATTGGGGTGACACTGGTTAATGAAACCATCCGGGTTTCAAGTGACATCTGACTTTTGCCACAGCAGTGGAGGGACCTGGAGAGCCTTATGCCGAGGGAAGTGAGCCAGCCAGAGAGAGACGAGCACCGTGAGCCCTCACTTCTGTGTGGGCTCAGTGAACAAGCTAAACTGACGAACGAAATAGAAACGGACTCCCGGGTACAGAGAACAGACTGGCAGCCGTCAGGGGGCGGGGGGGCGTGGGGTTGGGTGAAGGAGGTGAGGGGAGTAAGAGAAAAATAAAGGGCGCATTTCTGTGTCCGCCTTTCCCTTAAATTGCCGGCAGCTGTCGGGCAGAACGGTGACCTCTTGGGCTCCGTGGCCGAGCCCGGTGGAGGCTTCTTTTTCATTCTAGCAAAACATTTGTTTTTCAACCTAATCTTGTCTCTGCACTTTTGCATTTTCTTAAAAGGACAGAAGCCTCAGCCCCGCCCCTGGCCTCCGCTCATTCCTGTTTCCTGCTCCCCGTCAGGCACCTGGGAAGGTTAGGCACCGCCTGTGGCTCTTAGTCTACGGGCACCTGGCCCTTAGGCTCCGGGAAGACATGATGCTGGGTAGCGTCTGAGGTGCCCGGGAAGCATTCACAGTAGCTGCCCGCTTCTGCTCCAGTGCGCTGGCATTGCCAACCGTGAACCAGGGAGGTAGACAGGCACATGGACGCAGCCCTCTCTGTTTGCTCTCTCTCTCTCTCTCTCTCTCTCTCTCTCTCTCTCTCTCTCTCTCTCTCTCTCCCTCCCTCCCTCCCTCCCCCCCTCCCTCTCCCTCTCCCTGTCCTGTGGCCAGCCCGCTCCAGGGTGGCATCAGGAACTTCTGAAGGAAGGAACATTGCCTTTTCGTGCGTTCACATCCATGAGGGCCACATTCAGTTCCCATTGACAGCCGCCACCCTTACTCCCTTAGTGAATGTGCACCCTGCTCCTCTCCAGACACTTATTTAAGAGCAGAATCTTTGACTTATTAGTATTTCATATATATATAGTGATTGATTGATTTCAGAGAGGAAGGAAGAGAGAGAGAGAAACATCAGTGATGAGAGAGAATCGTGGATCAGCTGCCTCCTGCACGCCCCCTACTGGGGATGGAGCCTGCAACCCTGGGCATGTGCCCTGACCGGGAATCGAATCGTGACCTCCTGGTTCATGGGTCGACGCTCAGCCACTGAGCCACGCCGGCCGGCACCTTTTCCCCCCACAGTATAGTACAAGCACCTGTCAAGTCCATGTTAAGTATTTTTACATAAGACGCTGTGTTAAGGATTCTTTGGGGAAAAAGGAAAGTGAGATTCAGTTCTTGGGGTCCAGGTGGGCGATGGGGCGGAGACCCGAGCCGGCAACATGACTCTCGGAGAGAGGGAGCGTGCGATGAGGGAGGCCTTGTTCTAAGTTCTCAACTCGTCCCGCGGGGAGAACAGGAGGCCCAGTCGGGGACCACAGGGCGACACAGAAACTTGCCTTAAAAGATCTCGCCTCGGTGCTGGAAGGTAGGCCCGTATCACCGATGATTCAGAAAAAGAAAAAGGTAACAATGACAACAATAGCGTGAGATGGTGTCAGAACTGGGCCCGAGAGAGGAGGGTGCCGAAAAGTGGAATCAGACCGAAGGGGCCCATTTCTCTGCCGCTAGAGGAAAAAGTTCTCCTTTGGAGGAAAAGAATACGTTACAATAAAACAAATGGACTCTGTTTCTTCCCAAAGAAGACGAGGTGTGGAAGAAGCAGTCGTTGAAAGAGCAGGGTAACTGGGTCCCAGCGCCGCGATGCTGACTGGCCCTCAGTGAATGACAGCTCTGCTTAGCGACCTTTTTAAAGGAACTGGAGGCCATGACGGGAGAGAAGACCCGGGGCGTGTGGGAAGCTGGGGGTCACAGGTGCGATTCTCCTCATTACCAGGATCCTCTTCAGAAGGCCTGGGTTCCAGCGCGGGGCCCAAAGCTACAGACAGCGCAGCTCATGTGTGCTTTAATCATGGTCCAGAAGAAGGTTCCGGGAGGTACCGCAGGAGGCTTCAGTCTCCAGCAAAGCTGTCCAAGCTACAGGACAATTTAGTATTGTGTCTATAAACGCCCTGAGAGAGAGAAGTGACCATGTGTTCTTTTAAGTGTATCTTTATTGTTGAAAGTATTACAGATGTCCCCTCCCACCCCCCATCCTGACCCATTCCAGCCCCCCCTCACCCCCCACCCGCCCCGGCCTTCCCCACGCCGCTGTCTGTGTCCAGGGGTTAGCATACCTGCACCCGGGATCACACACAGGCGCGCTTTTTAAAAAATATATATATTTTGTTGATTTTTTACAGAGAGGAAGGGAGAGGGATAGAGAGTTAGAAACATCGATGAGAGAGAAACATCAGCTGCCTCCTGCACACCCCCCACTGGGGATGTGCCCGCAATCAAGGTACATGCCCTTGACTGGAATTGAACCTGGGACCCTTCAGTCCACAGGCCGACGCTCTAGCCCCTGAGCCACACCGGATAGGGCCACAGGCGTGCTTTTGTGCTGTTTCTTTCATGTAGCTTAACATTTTAGTCTTGTTTTTGTTGTAATTGTTTTCTGTTTTAGTTGTGGATTTAATTTTTCATATAGAAATAAAGTTTTGAAGTGAAAAACAGGGCTTCATCATGTAAAACGACACATTAGGAGCCGACATTTTGTCCAAAATGAAAATAAAAGCCTCGTTATGTGTGACCAAAAGCTAAAGGCCACCTCTCGGTGTGCGGATCTTCAGACCTAGAAAAACCATCCTCACTGTGTTCATCTGCACTGATTCTGAAGACCTCTAGCTGCCTTGGCGGGTGTGGCTCAGTGGGTAGAGCACGGCCTGAAGGCTGAAGGGTCCCAGGTTTGATTCCCGGTCAGGGCACAGGCCTGGGTTGTTGGGCTCTATCCCCAGTAGGGGGCGTGCAGGAGGCAGCCGATCAGTGATTCTCTCTCATCATTGATGTTTCTCTCTCCCTCTCCCTTCCTCTCTGAAATCAACAACAATAAATAAATAAATAAGACCTCCAGCTGGGGCACAGATGCCCGCCTTTGGACTTCGAGGCGCCACGTTTATCCTGCCTCAGGCCTGGCGGTTCCCGGATGGGCGCCTCCTTCCCTCCGCGTTTCCCGTGGCCGGCTCCTTCCACGGCCCTCCCTGAAGACCCCTCCCCTGACAGCTGTCCCTGCGTCCCGCGGGCCCCGCCCTCACCCTGCACCCCAGCACCCACTGCACGGCTCCGGATTCGCTCCCTCGCTGGCCAACACTTGGTTCTAGCTGGACCTGCTTTCCTGTGCTTCCTTGTCTATTAGCGACCCCCTCCCCCCGCCCCCCCACTCCCCCTTCCCCAGAGTGTGAGCTCCTGGGAGCGGGCACCAGGTCAGGCTCGGCCAGGCTGTGCCCAGGGCTGACCCTGGCGATATGGGATGCTGGCGATATGGATGCGTGTTTGTTCAATGAAGAGAAGCTGTGAGGGGCGGTGCTCCCTGTGTGCGTGGGGCGGGGGGGAGGGGAGTGGCCGTGGGGCCTTGCTCCGCTGGTTGAGACAGAAGCAGTGGGGGGAGGACCAGGTCACTCCGACCCGACCGCATGTTGTCCGTGAAGTGCAGGTGATGGCGATCCCATCGCCCCCCCCTCCCCCGGCTTCAGGGAGGGAGGGCTGATGAGATGACGCGGACACGTGGGCCGGGCCCTTAGGAACCGCAGGACTGGCTGGCGGCGTTTAAGGTGAACGATTTCACCTGCGCAGCGTCCCTTTTGCGGGTGCGGGGCGAGCTTCGGAGGGTCATCTCCATGGAAGGAGCTGGTCCTCCCCCAGGGAGGCTGCGTGGTGAGAGCCTGAGAGGGAGGTGGGGACAGACCTACGACCACTCAGACGAACCGGGTGGAAACCGTGGGAAAACCCCATGGAGTCAAGGAGGCGCCGTGAAGGCCCAACGCAGGCGGCGAGACCCTTTTCGTGGGCACAGCCTTCGGCGGCGGTGCTTCCGGGCTGTGGGGCTTGCCCAGGCGCTGGGCTGTTTCCTAGAGGCTGTGTGTGTGTGTGTGTGTGTGTGTGGCTCTGCTCCCGTGAGTCATCGCACGGAGGCCTGCCAGGCTGCTGAGGACAGGGAGGGGCATTCCTGGCGTTCCAGACCCAAGTGTGAGTATCAGGTCCCGCAGAAATGCGCCTGGAGTGCGGGCGCGGCTGGCCTCAGGTGGGGCCTCCCCTGGAGGCCCGGGGCCCACCCAGCCCGGCCGGCCGTCTGCATTCCCGTCTGCATGTCCACAGTCACACTTTCCACCCCGTGGGGAGCTCTGCGTTGAGTAATGACCCCCCCCCCCCCCGGCTCTGCTTAGTCATCACTGAAGCCACCACTGGCTGTTTCCTTGTGTCCCCAGGACCCCAGGCCAGTTCAGGAAGCCCCTCCCCGTGGATTTGGCATTCGTGGCTTTGAGAAGCTCTGGCATGCAGGAACAGAGCATAGCTGCGCATGTTACATGTATGTTACGTGTACGAGGGAGCCCTGCCTGCCTTTCAGCCGCCACATTTTACTTGTCCTTTCCTTGTTCTTGCTTCACATGGAGCCACCTGCACTGACCTGGTTAAAACGTTCATTAGTGAGTGAGTGAGTGTGTGCGTGTCTGAGGGTAAGAATAAAAGCCCCCAGAAGAAACGCAGGTGCTAGAATCGAGCGAGCTTACTAGCACCTCCCGCCTCCCTGGCAGTGGTCAGGACGACTGCGTCCAAGTTCCACGAGAAAACTGCGAAAAGAAAATCCATGCGCCATTTTCAACCATCAAGAATATGTCCTTATTCTATTGGATCCTACCTTTGTAATGATTTTTAAAACCTTTAAAGTGATTTTCGTTGTAGAATATTCTCACGCACACAAAAGCATAGCTATCGAAGCATATGTGCATCCTGCCTGTCCGTATGTTATATAGCTGCGTAACATCTGTACCCCATGTAGCGGTCAGTAGGGGCCAATAAGGTTTTATTGGCGTTCACCACACCTGTTTGTTGGTGTGCCGCCTGTGACTGCAGCCACTACCGTGGCCAAGGTGACGGAGACCAGGTGGCCCATTGCCCACACGTCCTGCCTGGCCCTTTCTGTGAAATGTCTGCAGACGCCTGGTAATAGGATAATAAAACTCGCGTCCATGTTCCCGGGACTCGGCTTAGGACAGAAACCATAACCCACGTTGTGATGCTCCTGGGTGGCCCTCCCCAAGGCGCTCGCTCCTCTGCTCGAAGGAAAATGAGAATCTGAACTTTATCATTTGTGTGGGTTTCATACAGTTTATATACGTAGCTCGAAGCAATGTGTTTTAAGGATTTATGCCATTTGGATCTTTTGCTTTAGGATATTTAAAAGTGAGTTCACATTCTCCTCTGCTTTGCTTTCCCCTAACATTCGCCTGTGAGGCGCCTGTGTTCCTGCGTGAAGGTGCGGCTGGTTTTCACGGCTGGCATTAGAATACACGGCGCTGGGTCGTGGCGAGTTCACGTAAGATAACGCGCAGCAAGCCTTCAAGCAGGCCATGTGCGCATCGCACTGACTCACGGGTGCTTCACTTTTATCCTCTCCTACTCCGCTCCCGTCCCAGCCCGGAGGTGCAGTGACGTGACCAGGTTCACACAGGTGGTATGTGTCTACGCTTGAATCAAGTTCAGCTCCGCCTGACTACAGAGACTTTTTAAAAAATGTGCCTTTTTTTTGGCCGAAGGGGAAAATCCTGAAGAATAAAGTTATGTGAACAATTTCTATGGCCGGTATAGCCTCGCAGTACACAAAACCCGAGGAAGTCCAGGTACATTCCAGGCAACACAGTTGCAAAATGGGAACACAAAAATGGATGAATTAATGATGGTCTATGCATAGGAGGGTGTGGATACTCCACAGCGCGGAACAGTGTTAAACATCATTGGCGTGTCGCCTGCCCCTTTACCGACATCCCCAGGCACGCGGTCCGCAGAAGCCTGTCTCATTTCTATTATTATTATAAGCAGGCAGGTTGGAAGGAGTCGTAAACCAAAACACAGCTGCGGAGTCTAAGTTTAGGCCCATCAAGATGCGTGCCCCTCCCGCCTCGCTGCTGCTCCGGCTCCTTCCGCAGGACGTCGCTTTTCCACCAGACGTCTCCGGGCACCGGCTTCGGGGCATCGGCAGTTCTGTTCTCTCGGCCTTTTCAGGCCAGCGTTCTGTCTGTCACACTTCGCACACGGGTTTCTTCGTTCCTCTACTTGTGGGGAGAAAATAGCCGTGTGCAGGCGGCTCCGAGCCGCCAGAGTACCTTGTGGCGTGTCTGTGCGATGCCCCTGAGGCGTGTTACCGAGGGCTTGAAGGAGGGACGCTTTAGACGTGTCCTCTCTCCTCCCACCTGGGTCTTCAGTGTGTATCTCCTGAGTAGTCAGAGATTGGCAGACCCCTGCTTGTTTTTTTGTTTGTTTGTTGTGTGTGTGTGTGTGTTTAAATATGTTTTTACTGATTTCAGAGAGGAAGGGAGAGGGAGAGAGAGAAACATCAATGAGGAGAGAGAATCACTGATCGGCTGCCTCCTGCACGCCCCCACTAGGGATCAAGCTCACAACACAGGCCTGTGCCCTTGACCAGAATCGAACCTGGGACCCTTCAGTCCGCAGGCCGACGCTCTATCCACTGAGCCACACCAGCCAGGACTCAGAATGTTTTTGAGTGATTCACAGTCATTCAGATCCTTCTGCGGGAATGTGGGGCGTTGCTGAAGCTCAGCCTGTGGCTTTCTTTCTGCGCTCGATACGGAAGCCTGTGTTTTCGACACCACACTGCACTCCCTGGAATGGCGAGCGTCCCACGCCACGGAAGGACGCATCTTAGCAGGAGAAGTAGAATGCTGAACGAGGCGTGGGCGAAAGGAGGGGTGGGTGAGTTCAGAGGAGACTGCATGGAATGCCGAGGCATGTGGTCGGGGACCCTGCCAGTGACTTTCAAAGAACGTTTGCCCATCAACCCAAAACATGTCGGCTAAATACCCCCCTTTCAATGAAATGGCTGTTGAGAGAGGTTTGGGACACTGATCGCACATTTATTTGGAACTTCTGGTTTGTTTGTTTAATATATTTTTATTGATTTCAGAGAGGAAGGGAGAGGGAGAGAGAGAGAAACATCCATGATGAGAGAGAATCGTGGATCGGCTGCCTCCTGCACGCCCCCCACTGGGCATGTGCCCTGACTGGGAAGCCAACCGTGACCTCCTGGTTCATAGGTCAACGCTCAACCACTGAGCCACGCCGGCCAGACTGGAACCTCTGGTTCTGAATGGCTGCTTAGCATTCCATGGTCTTAGCATCCCATGATTTAGTCGGACAATCCCATTTCCATGTGCTCCCAACACATTTTTGCACTTCCTGTGTCACTGCGCCACTTGGATGAGTTAAGAAAAAAAATCTAATGTGACCCAGGGTTTCTGCCCAAACGGCCCTGGACGGCGCCTGTCATCTGTCACAGTGGTTTCTCCGTCTCCGAACATGGTGTAAAGCTGTTGACTCTAACAGTTTTAATATTCTTTTCAAGATACATGTTTATTTTAGACTGTTTGGAAATACAGAGGCTCATGCTAAAACCATGAAGTTCAGCAATTCCGACACCTGGAATCCCTTTCAGCTGTTTTGGTATCACTTTAAGTTCATGCGCACTGAGTGCATCTTGCGTCCCCCTCCCCTCCCCCTCACCTCCAGCTCTCTCCCTCTGCCCCCCCCGCCCCCCCCCCCGCCCCCGTCCCCCATCGCTGGGCCATAAAGCTGAGTGGACACGCAGCACGCACGGGTAATGAGCAGAGGCTGGAAGGGTCGGCTGCCCACATTCCTGGGCCAGTGAGGCAGCGGGCTGGTCCCCTCCGTGGAGGGTGTGGGACTCGGCCTTGGTCCTGTGTTTTCTTAGGGCCCATCTGCCCCGGTCCCTCATGGTGCCTGCAGAGCAGGCCCTCCGGAAAGGGAGCGCAGTTCTCTGGTTGTTGGGTATTAGCTTTGCAGGCCCCCTCCGGGTCAGCTGTGCCCGCCCTCTGTGTCCGCGACGCCAGGTCCCAGCCTCCGGGGTTCTCGGTCGTGAGGGGCCGTCCGCGTCCTCACGGCCACCGGTCCCCTTGGGGCTACTTCTCAGCTCCCTCTGGCCGGGGTCCCCGCCGCCCCTCGGCAGTCCGGCCTCCAGCTTCCGAAAACGGCAACTGCTCAGTCTCTTCTTTTACGTGGAGGGCTTATGCCTTTGGGTCCTATTTGGTTTTCATTTATTTGTGTCGTTCTTCACTGACAGCTGTGGCGTCTTGAGAGGAAGCTGAGATAAAAATACATGTTCCACGTGCCTGGTGAACCACGTGCCCGGGTGAACCACGTGCCGGGTGAACCACGTGCCCGGGTGAACCACGTGCCTGGTGAACCGGGAGTCCCTTGCCCGCCTCGTTCTTGACGTGTCTCATGAACCGTGTGGAACCTGAGGAAGAGAAGGCTCTGGCTCTTTCTCCTTGTAGATGTTAACAGCTGATGGTTTATTCCTCAGGATGCCTCCCTGATGGACATGAATTCTTTAAGTCCGACGATGCCGACGTCCCCTTTGTCGATGATCAACCAGGTCAAGTTTGAGGATGAGCCCGACTTGAAAGATCTCTTCATCACGGTCGACGACCCCGAGAGCCACGTGACCACCATCGAGACCTTCATCACTTACAGGGTCGCCACCCAGGTGGGTATGGAAGGCCGGCCTCCCGAGCACGTGGCTGTCCGTGGGCTTCGGACGTGCATCTTGCTCACCGCAAACTCAGCATCACGCAGTCTTTGCTGAATTTATCTGTTTTTTTTTTAACCATTTTGGGTAAGATATTGCACTTTGGGGTGTAGCTCGCCTGAGTCTGTTAGTCCTGAACTCCAGGTACCCAAGTTTTTACGGGAAGACATGAAAACTAAACATTTACAAAGCAGCTCCCAGGGGAACCTGTGTTTTAGGCTGGAAGAGTTATCTATGCTCTGAGTTCACTTTCTAGAACACACGTTCTTGCTGAGCTGGAGATCGGCCATCGTCCCCCTGGTGCAGCGTGTACCTGTGCTCAGATGGCCCCCGTGGGCCACTTCAGATGGGGCAGTGACCCTGTCCCTGTCGTCGGGGATGAGTTATGATGTGAGCCCGGCTGGCAGCACTGGTTTTCCTCTACCGATCCACTGTAGATCTTGCGGCCTCTCTGGGGAAGGGGACGCCCGGCAGGGAGAAAGGACACCCGCCCTGGGGACTGTCCTCACCCCGTTACCACCTGAAGTTCGCTCTTCTCCGCCCCTAACAGCGACGAGGACAGACTAACCGTCACGTGACTTGATCTGGTGCCTTCCTCCTGTCTGAGGGTTACTGAAAGGGTGAGAGGTTCTTGAGGACGTCTGAAGCTCAGTGTTAACTGCGCAGGTTCTGCGTGTCCTCATTTTCACTAGTAGTTAGGCCAATTTTCCCCTCTAGTAATTGCTAATGAACCTGTGCATATGTGCTGGCTACACAGCTGTTCAATACATAGGTACAGATATGGACATATTTTAAAAGATGTTTTCAGTTTATTTATTTTTTTTAGAGAGAGAGGGGAAGGGAGAAGGGTAGAGAGATAGAAACATCGGTGAGAGAGAATCATTGATCAGCTGCCCCCCACTGGAGATCAAGCCCGCAACCTGGGCTTGTTCCCTGACCGGGATTCGAACCCATGACCTCCTGGTTCATAGGTTGATGCTCAGCCACTGAGCCACACCAGCCTGGCTTCAGTAAATATATTTTCATGAGTGACTCTACACTATGTTTTGTGTGCATATGTATGTTCATGTGTATATATTTGCATATATATGTCCACATACCAACTCATATACATTGTTAAACTGTCTCTCCTAGATTTAGTTTTCCTATTTTTAGCATTCCTACAACCTGTACCTTTTTGCATAACAGTTAAGATTTTAGTGTTCTGTGAGCATTTAGTTCTTTAGATTTCTGCATCTCACTTACCTCTACCTTTTTCACTAAAAAGGGAATGTTTTACTGAGCTACATTGGGAGATATTCTAAACATGCATTTTAAAAGAATAAATCTTGGAAAGTGTAGCTTAGGGGAGCCTTATTTTACAGCAATTAAGGTTGCTTAGCTCGAGCTGCTGAATTCTACAATTGTGTTTATCTGTGGGGGTGAGTGTGAGATATGCATGCCATGTGTTATTCCATTCTTACTCCAGAAAATCTCAAGCTTCGTATGACTGTGTGTGATTTTTAATATGCAAAATTCAGCTACATAAGATGCTGGTGGGAGTGGCTGTGTTCCTGAGAGGTGCACATGCTTTAGATGGTCTACTTTTGTATTTGGCTCAGGATTCGGCAGTAGAAGCGAGGTTGCTATTATACCCATGTTGGCGTAGCTTTTTGGTTTGTTGAGAAGAGATATTTTAAGATATTTGCTTAATTTTTAGGAGTTCAGCATATGACTCAAAATAGAATCCCTTGAGAACGACGGGAACATTGTCTTTCCACATCAAATCTCCTTTAATAACATGTTTAAAACAGTGGGTAAAACCACTCTGTCAAATGCTAGAATGCTCGCATACCAAACGCACATTTTAGCCAAGCAGTTGGTTCGAGCACATTCCAGCAAAACGTTTTTTTTCGGTTGTGTTCCGTTCTCTCCCAAACGGCACTGACAGGACTTGCCTCCCGTCCCGAATCCCGATCTCCTGAGAAGAGACGCGTGTTTAAGCCTCAGTGCGGGACGCACTCGCCCGCGGGTGGCCGCGCCTGTGGGAGGCAGAGGGGCCTCGCACACAGACTCCCCGTGTGGGTCTGGAACCCGGGCGTGGGGTTTGCTTTCCTGCTGGCCATGCGGGGAGCTGGCTCCCTCCCCTGCCCCGTGCACTGAGGCTGTGCAGTGAGGCCCGCTGAGCCCGGGTGTCCGGACCGGCCGCGGCGTGGCCGGCCCCGCATTGCTTGTCTGCTGCTTCCTCCTGCAGACGTCACGCGGGGAGTTCGACTCCAGCGAATTCGAAGTCAGGAGGCGGTACCAGGACTTCCTGTGGCTCAAGGGAAAGCTCGAGGAGGCCCACCCCACTCTCATCATCCCGGTAGGTAGACCCCATCTTCCGTAGAACGGCTGCCACCTTGTCCTGTGAACTGTGAACATGCCCGCCACCAGGTTCCAGGCCTTTCTGTTCGTGTAATTCATTCACCTTGGAAACATTCGTTTTAAACGTTTCCACCTAACTACAGATTTGCTTTTGCTTTTTTAATATTTTTGTATTGATCTCAGGGAGGGAGAGGGAGAGAGAGAAAGAGAAACATCAGTGATGAGAGAGAATCATGGACCGGCTGCCTCCTGCACACCCCACACCGGGGATCGAGGCCCCACCCGGGCCTGTGCCCGGACCGGGAATTGAACTGTGATCAACGCTCAGCCACTGAGCCACGCCGGCCGGGCCAGGCTTGCTTGTTTGCCTGTTTCATGTTTTGTCGTGTTTGGACTTAGCATTGCGCATCTTTAAAGTATCTTTGTGAGATGGTGGCATGTTCCAACAGCCTGTAAATGGGCACGGGTGGCATTTCCCTCCCCCTCTGCCGCCTGGGGCAGGTGCCGCGCTCACCGGCGTGTTTGTTTTTGCCGCAGCCGCTGCCGGAGAAGTTCGTGGTGAAGGGCATGGTGGAGCGCTTCAACGACGACTTCATCGAGACGCGCAGGAGGGCCCTGAATAAGTTTTTGAACCGAATTGCCGACCATCCAACCTTGACGTTCAGCGAAGACTTCAAAGTCTTCCTTACCGCCCAGGCTGGGGTAACGCCTTGGATTTATACTCGCGTAACGCTTTCCTGTCTGTGTGACAGAAGGCTGTCCCTCCCCTTGTTGCCTAATTCATAAGCCAGGCAGCAGGGCCCTGGAATTAAGAAGGATTTGAAAAAGTATATATTTTTATTGATTTCAGAGGGGAAGGGAGAAGGAGAAAGAGAAGCATCAATGATGAGAGAGAATCATTGATCAGTTGCCTCCTGCATGTCCCACACTGGGGGGTCGAGCCTGAAACCCGGGCCTGTGCCCTTAACCAGAATCGAACCTGGCACCCTTCAGTCCGTAGGTGAGTGCTCTATCCACTGAGCCACACCACCCAGGGCTTAAGGGCTTTTAAACGCTGGAGGGATAGCCTTCAGGTGCAGCTCCGGGCCAGGTCTCCTTCCAAACGCTACAGACACCCGACGCCTTCCTGCACCTTGCAGACCCCTCTCCCTCCGTTTGCAGGAGCTGTCGTCGCACAAGAAGCAGGGGCCGGGGCTGCTGAGCAAGGTGGGCCAGACGGTCCGCGCCGTCGCCCTGTCCATGAGGGGCGTGAGGAGCCGCCCCGAGGAGTTCACGGAAATGAACGACTTCATCGAGACGTTCAGCCAGAAAATAAATTTGATCGATAAGATATCCCAGAGGATTTACAAGGAGGAGCGCGGTACGTAGCAGCACCGGCCTGTGCTTTTCCCGCTGTTCGTTCCTGCCGGTCCTCCCAGTCGCTGGCTGGGAGGCGGCGTGGAGGTGGCGCCTCTCTTGGGCCCTTTCCCCGCACTCGCGTCTCCCTGCCCGCAGGCCCGTCTCCTGCCTGCAGCCCCGTCTCCCCGTCTCCCTGCCCGCAGCCCCATCTCCCTGCCCACAGCCCCCTCTCCCTGCCCGCAGCCCCATCTCCCTGCCCACAGCCCCGTCTCCCTGCCCGCAGCCCCATCTCCCTGCCCGCAGCCCCATCTCCCTGCCTGTGGCCCCATCTCCCTGCCCGCAGCCCCCTCTCCTGCCCGCAGCCCCATCTCCCTGCCCACAGCCCCGTCTCCCTGCCCGCAGCCCCGTCTCCCTGCCCGCGGCCCCATCTCCCCATCTCCTGCCTGCAGCACCGCCGCACCCAGGGTCCGAGTCACGGGCGCTGTAAATTCCTGCTCTCCTGGCGCCCGCGCCCACCCTCGGGATTTTTCTTGGTCCCGGGTGTGATGAACACGGTCAGAGTAACTGTGCAAACAGAAGTCCCACCAGACAGGCAATTATTTTCAACATTTTTAATATTTTTCAGTTTACTTCATCGTACCAAGTTTTGAAATTATAATAGTTTATTTTAGAGCAATATGACATTACACCTAACCCTAATGAGTAGAAGATGATGAAATAGAGAATTTGGTTTTACTTACACGGCTACCAGACCCAAAAAAAGGCACCAATGCTCACTGCTTCTACACTCCCTCCCATGAAACGCTGTCACGGAGAGTGGATAGTCCGAACGCAGAAATGTGAAAGTCCTCAGATTTTAAAATGAAATCCAGACTTTTGAATCAATGGCTCATCAAGCATTGAAGAGCCCTTTTGTTACTCATTTATTGTTTCATTGATGTGAAAATATTTATTGAACACGCCGTGTATCGGGCTTTGAGATTTAAAAAAAAAAAAAAGTAAAACTTGACCCTAAGGAGCAGGTGGCCTAGGAGCGTGCCAGCTCCGCAGGCGGGCACAGGCGTGGGGTGACAGGTGTAACGTCATGACAGGCGTGGGCAGAGGTGCACAGTCGTGGCTGAGGACAGAGCATCTAAGAACCCTTTGGGGCGGAATCAGAAGTGGTTTATTTACTCTGCGATTTAAAGGATTCACAGGAGTCTGTCTGTTGGATGATAGAAACGGCAGAGGACCAGGCAGAGGGGTCTGTGCAGGGTGTGAGCGAGGAGGGACATGAGATAGTCATACATGAGCCGCTCTTTCGGCTTCAGCTGAAATATCTTTGGGAGAGAATCACAAGATTTGGATCCACAGAGGCGAGATGAAGTCTAGTCATGCAAGGGCCTCCTGATTCAGTGCTTACATGCTGTGGCGGAAATGGGGAGAGGGGCCCTGGGGAGGACAGGGTAGAGATGCAGGTGGTAATGGGAGTCAGGTAGGTAAGTGGGTGGTTGGGTGGGTGGGTGGAGAACTAGATGATGGATAGTGAAGACTGATAGATAGTAAAGATGAAGATGCGGGAAGTGGTGGTTGGCTGAGTGTTCAGGTGTGAGTCTAGGATGCGGCCAGACTCCTGCTCAGATCCCTGGGAACACTTACCCTGAAGTGGGCCATGCGGGCAGGAGAAGGGAGAAGACGGCGCGTTTGGTCTCCGGTCAGGTTGCTGGAGACGCGGGTGCAGGTGTCTGGTAGCGGACGTAGTCACGTCCCAGCCAGGACGCCTGTCAGCAGGAATTTTCGAACTTTCTTGAACTGAAGGACTTATTATTATTTTTTTAGAATACTTTGATGAAATGAAAGAATACGGCCCCATTCATGCCCTGTGGTCGGAGTCGGAAGAGGACCTGGCGGACATGCTGGGCGGCGTGGCCAGCTGCCTGGACCGGTGCTGCCAGGCCACCGAGCGGCGTCTGTGCGGCCTGTCCGAGGCCCTGCTCCCCGTCGTGCACGAATACGTGCTCTACAGCGAGATGCTCATGGTGAGGCCCCTGCGTGACACTCCGGCCCTGACCCGAGTGTGAGCTGCAGAAAGGCGCTGCTGTTCTGCCTTTGCGCGTCTTCCCATCCCAGCAGGACCCTGCGCGTGGACGGATGGTGTTGCTCGCCCGCCCATGCAGTGCTGGGCGGAAGGAGACATTAACAAAAGAGGGGACGCCCGGCCGGTGTGGCTCAGTGGTTGAGCGTCGACCTAGGAACCAGGAGGTCAGGGTTTGATTCCCTGTCAAGGGCACATGCCTGAGTTGTGGGCTCCATCCCCAGTAGGGGGCGTGCAGGAGGCGGCTGGTACATGATTCTCTCTCATTGTGGATGTTCCTATCTCTTCCTTCCTCTCTGAAATCAATAATATATATATATATATATATATATGTATATACGTATGTATATATGTATATATGTATGTATATATGTATATATGTATATATGTATGTATATATGTATATATGTATATATGTATGTATATATGTATATATGTGTGTATATATATATATATATATTTTTTTTTTTTTAAAAAAAAAGGAGCGAAGGGGTTCCTGGCATTAATGGCAATGACACAGGGAAGTAAATGTAAAAGAATCCGTGGCCAGTGGTTGAACTTGGTATTGATTTCTCTAGACAAGGGGGACTCTTCATCTCTCCTGCATGTTGTCAGGGCGGTTTGACCGGCACAGAACCAGACTGAGTGGTGTCGGGTGCTTTTGCTCCAGCGCCTCTCAGTTCTCACCCGGACACGGACAGCCACCTCCTCCCTCCCCGTGTAAGGTGTTTGTTTCCGGGCCCTTCCCTGCCCCGAGCACACCGCGAGACCCGGTTCTCCTCAAGCCCCCTCTCCTGTATGTCCTTTAACTCTCTCTGGTGGAGGCAGTGTTTTCTTTAACCTGTGGAGGCCACTTGTGTTCGTTATTATAATTTCATTATTGTTTGATTAATGCTGTGGCAACCAGTGCCCAGGCGGCGGGGCTCAGTGGTTGAACATTGACCTATGAACCAGGAGGCCACAGTTCGATTCCCGGTCAGGGCACAGGCCCAGGTTGCGGGCTTGATCCCCAGAAGGGGGCGTGCAGGAGGCAGGCGATCCATGATTCTCTCTCATCACGGATGTTTCTCTCCCTCTCCTTTCCTCTCTGATATTAAAAAAAATAATAAAAAATACTGTGACAAGCAGGGAAAGATGAGTGCAAGTAACAGGGGCCCTTGTGCCCCCGAGCCTAGGGAGTCGCCCAGGGAAAGGCCTGGCCAAAGGCCAGCAAACACTGGACAAGCTTCCAACGACTTCTGCACGCAGGTGCCCCACACGGGTGTGTGCAGCTTAACGCCGAAAACGGGGAACCCCGGTGATTCAGGAAAACGAGGTGGGAGGAGAGGCCGTGCTTTCCCTGCAGAGCTGGGCTCATTGCTTCAGATTTACCCCGTGAAGCTAAAATAAAACCCTGAGATGTGAGCACACACTGCGGGTCCCGCCGTCCCCGACTGATAGCCATTCCTTGGGAGTCGGGTCAGGGCAGCCAGGGAGGGCGGGTGTCTTCCGGGGAGTGGCCCGCGTGGCCTCCAGCTGCCGCGAGGTTACACCCTCCCGATGAGTGCTCCCGACCTTCTGTTTGCTTTGTTCCTGGCTCTTTCTGGATCGCTGTGCGAGCCCAGGGTACTCCTCCCACAGCGGCTCCTCAAGTACTTCCACCAGCAAGAGAGGCCCTGGGAGGCCGGAGGGTTTATAAACGCCTTTTCCTAATGCCTGCTGTCGGCTTAGCTCTTAGAGATGGAAAACCATTTGTAAAGTCGTTCTGTCCCCAACCGAGTGGTGGCTGCTGTTACCCCGAAACGTCTGTGTGGTGCACGCACAGCTGACGCGGTCCTTGTGTTTTCCCGCAAAGGGCGTCATGAGGAGGAGAGACCACATCCAGGCAGAGCTGGAATCCAAGGCGGAAGCTTTGACCTACAAAAAGGCGGACACGGACCTGGTGAGCATTCACGTTTCTCGATACGATGGTGTCGACTTATTGCTTATCTGAGACTTTTCCTGGCCACGTAGAGCTCCCTTACAGCTTGCTTTGAAGCGTTCAGCCAAAGGCACCAAAATTTCTCCCAAAATGTCTATACCTTCTGTTGAGTTCTCTAGGAAGGAGACTTTGTTAATGTCTTTTTTCACTCCAAGGACGTAGGTGAGTGTTGAGGACATGAATGACAGGTGAGTGGGGGTGTCCCTGAAACCCCCATTAATCCATAGGATGATGACCCCCATCCAGCCTGCGTTAATGTGTCTCTCATTTTAATCCTTTTCCTATAAAAGATATGATGTCCTTCCTGCTGCTCTTTACGCATCTTCCTCTCTGTCTCTCTCCTTGTCTGACCTGAGCACCTTCAGGGCAGGGAACTTTTATTTGTTCCCTGACGTGTTCTCAGCCCCGGCATCGCGCTGGGTACGCGGCTCACGCAGTGAGCATTTCGTGGGTGAATGGATGAAAACTGCGGGGACCATGTTGGAGTCTGGAAACCAGGAGCCCCCATGGGGCAGAACCCCGAGACCTCACTAGGGAGGGCGATGAACTCCCCTCAGCGTCCTGGGCCAGGGTTTCTTTCTGGGCTGAGTGTGTGTTTCAAAGTCGAGTTCATTCTCCCGAACAGGGTGTGGGTGGGACGGGGTGGGCTGCTGTGGGCAGAAGAGGAGAGAGAACCACAGAAAAGCAGAGGCACTAAGCCAGGATGAACCCTTCCCATTCAGTAAGGTGTGTGTGTGTGTGTGTGTGTGTGTGTGTGTGTGTGTGTTTAACTTTTTATTTTATTTAAAGAGTCAAGTAGAAGGAACAAGAAGGGGGGATGCACATGTACTGAAATAGTATTCTTATCCTTTACACTGTAGAATTCTTTTATTTGTTAAATAATTTTTAAAGATACTGAAATTGGCGGTGAGGTAAAATGTTGCCGTTGACCAAATCCTAGAAAAAGCACCTTACAGTTTCAGGAGCAGAGGACGACGCTAAAAGCCAAGCGTCTGTTCAGGATGGCTCCTGCTCAGGTTGTGCGTGGGAACACGGACAGGAAGTCGCTGGGATTATCCCGTCGCAAAAGTCACAGAAGAACGGGCTGCCCACACATGGCTCAGCTTTCCACGCTCACCTAAAAAGGGCACTTTTCATTTGACTTGCAAATATTTTGTCTTTTTTCTATAAAAGTTTCCTTGATGTCTCATTATAACCTAATGATCCATCTGTATTTCTGATCCATTTGTGCGTTTGCCAGGTCCAGGATGAAGTTTTTGTTGGTTTTTTAACCTAGCGAGCTGCTGTGTTGAACGCGTGGAGAAATTTGAAACGTTAATTATCTGCATGATATTCTGTAAGATGCATTTAATCAACTAAGATTTGAAGCAGAGACATGGCGAGTACTTGGTTGTTGCCATCAGAACGGGCCTTCCTGGAGTGTGCAGGGAGCGGTGGAGGGTTTGTGGGTGGCGGCATTTGCGTAGACCTCACTGCAGCAGCCCGACGTGTTAGGATGGCATTGTCGGGAGAGACCTTCAGAAGGAAGCTGACACGATCGGTCCCAGAACAACGGAAAGGAAGTTGCTTAGAAAGATGCAGGATAGGATCACCATGGAAACGCACCCTTGTGAGGTCCTTGGAAGGAGCCATCCTTTGCAGTCGCCATGGCGACCCTGGCAGAGAACTGAATAGAGCCATCCAGCCCGGGTGCTCACCATGGCAACTCAAGCAGGGCCGCTTTAGAGCCCACCCCGGGGCCGTCTCTATGGAGACCTGCCGGGGCTGCCTTCAGAGGCTCCATCCCCGTCCCCTGAGGGAGGGACGCCCTGTGCAAGCCCAGCTCAGCGGCTCAGCATGAAGCATGAGGAGGTCGCTGACGGAGCTCTCCCAAGATGGGCGGAGACCAGGGAGTCATAATTATTGGGTGGAAATAGAACCCCGCTGGACACCCCCGAGGTCACGTTGGGCGTGTCAGGTGGACGGGGAGGGACCCACCTGGAGATACACGTGTGGGAGTGGCTAGAAGATAGGCAGCATTTAGAGCGATGAGATTTGTCGAGGTCACTCAGGGGTGAGACTAGAGGCCCCGTGGCTGAACCTCAGCACTGGCCAGCGTGAAGAGCCAGGCCAGGGGTGTGTGGTGCGAAGGAAGGGGATTGTCGCTTCGGCTGCCGGGAGGGAACGGGACTGATAAGGTGAACTGAACGTGGAGGGTCATTCGACTTCTCTACCCCACTTCTCCGCGTGGGAGGCCTTTATGCAAACAGCAGGGCGACCTGGGACACGCGCCGGCCGTCACGTGTTGCCAGAGGAGCTGAGAGTTGTGTGATGGGCTCCACGAAGAAGGTGCTCACTCTTCCGGTGGAGACAGTGGAGACCAGGGGCCGCGATGGCCCCGAGGGGGGAGGCGCGGGGGTGCGGGCGCTGTGGTCTCTGCCTTCGGTGAGGAGTCCTCCCAGGCAGAGCTGCTTGAAAACACTTACTCACTCGCCGCCTCCCCGGAGGAGAGCAGGGGCCTCGGGTGCTAATGCTGCTGCCTCTGTGGTGTCCTCATTCTTATTTCTGAATGGGCGCTTTATCGTGCTCACTCAAGGCAGCATTCAGATAGGAATGAACTCGAATACGCTTGACATTTAGCAACATGTGCGCGGAATCCGCGAGTCGGGCCTGGAAGCGCCGCCGTCGCGGTGGCGGGGTGTTTATGTGAGCAGAAAATAAACTCGCGCTGTCCTCAGACCATCGCAGCCTGGATTTGCATGCAGCAGCGCTCAGTAGCTACACACAGACCCCGGGTTTATTCAAGCCGGTCCTGCTCCGGGTGACGTGCGAGTTGTGAGCCAGTATTTTGCTCTTATCTTCAAATAATGGCTGTTCGTCTTCTGATGTTCTCGACAGCACCCTGCACAGAGCAGCACTGCCTGCTTGCTGCGCCTTAAAGAAATGATAATATTGACATAGCGTGCGTGTGCATGTGCGCGTGTGTGCATGTGCGCGTGTGTGCATGTGCGCGTGTGCTGGGGGGGGGGGCGGAGCAGAGGTTGCCTCTACCTGTTCTCAGATATTTTTTTCTTGCCTTTCTCTCCTGACCTTATTGCGAATGTCTTTCTTCCAATAGGCCTCATTTCCCAATATCCGTCTCTCTCTGCCGCTCTTCTGTCTGTCCGCATCTGCGTGTGTGAGAGACGCTGGTACACACGCGCCCGTGTGCACACACTCGCCCGCAGGGAGGGCGGTGGCGGACATGGCCCCGGGGGAGGAGAAGGCCCTTCTTGTTGGCGTCTTTGTATCGGCGCGTCCCAAAGCATCGGCGCTGCCCCGTCTCGCTGGCCGAGTCGCCCGGAGCGAACCTGTGGGCGCCCCTTACGCCCCAGGGGCAGGGGCAGCCGATGGACAGGCAGGAGCCCCAGGTGAAGGACTCCACATGCTCTCAAGGTTATGCCCACATCTTTCCCTGGAGAGACGTGACCCAGAAATGTGTGTTCAGTTAGGAGCCTTTTGGAACCTGCAGATACGAGCTTGTCTGTCGTGAACACAACATGGAATTGACTCACGCCAACTGTGACCCAGAAAATCCACCAGGAGGCATCTGCGGGCGAGAAAAGGCTGTGCCGCCTCCAAACCGTCCGCCGTGAGCTGTGCGCGGGGGCGTGGGGGCGTGTACGGGTCCAGGTTTGCGGGGAGGACCCGTCGGCGTGGAGTGCCGCGAATGGGGCCTGCGTGCTGCGGGGCGAGTGTGGGGAGCAGGACAGGGAGACTCCAGCGGAACGAGGTCGCCTGTGGTTCCCAAAGACACACTGTAAGCTCGGTGTCTGTCTCCGGCAACACTTCCCACTGTCCTACCTGCTGCGGGGGAAGTAACAGGATGAGTAAAGAGGGTGGTTGAGCACTCGTCAGCGTGGCTCAGGGGCTGAGCGTGGACCTAGGAACCAGGGGGTCAGGGTTCGATCCCCGGTCAGGGCACAGGCCCTGGTTGCAGGCTCGATCCCCAGGGTGGGGCGTGCAGGAGGCAGCCGGTCAGTGATTCTCTCTCATCATTGATGTTTCTCTCTCTCTCTCTCTCTCCCCCTCTCCCTTCCTCTCTGAAATCAGTAGAAATATATTTAAAAAGAATCCCTGTCATCTCTTCTCAGGATGGAAGAGCTCCTCTGTACGGTGTGCTGCAGGTGGGTGGTGTGGTTTGGGGAGTCCTGCCCTCTATAGATAGAATTTTTGAACAGCTGTCCCCTATAGGAACTCAAAAATAGGTCCAAGTTCTTTATTTTCTCTTTTAATTTAGGCTTTTTGTTCATAAGAAATGTGTCCTGAGGGTCTGTTTCACATCCCTCCCCCCCCCCCCTCTCTCTCTCTCTCTCTCTCTCTCTCCACCCCAGCCCTGCCTCAGTAAATACTTGATGAGGCTCAGAGCAGTAGTAACACTGGGAGTCCGAGGCCTGGGGCGGGGCTTGGATGCTGTTACTTACTGTGCAACTTTAATCAGACATTAATTACTCTTTATCCACGAACGTGCAGAACTAATAATGCTGGCTTTGAAGAAAAATGTTTGAAGATGAATTAATGTGTATAAAGGTAGAGCTTGTGTCAGTAAGAGTTTTGATAAGAGGAAAAAAGTACAGAAGAATAACATACTAGAGACTATATAATGGCATCATAAAACTTATTATTTAAGCCAGGGGTGGGAGCCCTTTTCCTGCCAAGGGCCATTTGGATATTTATCACATCATTTGCGGGCCACACACAATGGTCAGCTTAAAAGCCAGCCTGCTCTAGGTGGCCAGACGCTGAATTAACTCACCCCTGATGCCGTGGCAGGGCCAGGCCCAATGATTTCCGGGGCCCTACCTGATCCGCGGGCCCGGCGTTCCCCACCCCTGATTTAAGGTATGAATCGTCTCAGTGGTGCTTCTAAAGTCAGCAGTTCTGCTCCACAAAGACCAGAGCAGGCGTCCCCGGGTGGGTGCCCCACCCCAGTGTCAGTGCCC